TCCTGGCTTGTATCAGGAATAGTGTGGCCAGCAGGACCAGGGAAGTGATCGTCCCCCTGTACTTGGCACTGGTGAGGCCGCACCTCGACTACTGTGTTCAGTTTTGGGCCCCACACTACAAGAAGGACACTGAGGTGCTGTAGCAGTTCCGAGGAAGAACAACGTAGCTGATGAAGGGTCTAGAGCACAAGTCTTATGAGGAGCGGCTGAGGGAACTGGGGTTGTTTAGCCTGGAGAAGAGGAGACTGAGGGGAGACCTTATTGCTCTCTACAGCTACCTGAAAGGAGGTTGTAGTGAGGTGGATGTTGGTCTCTCCTCCCAAGTAACAAGCAATAGAACGAGAGGAAACGGCCTCAAGTTGCGCCAGGGGAGGTTTAAATTGGGTATTAGGAAAAATTTCTTCCCGAAAAGGGTTATCAAGCATTGGAACAGGCTGCCCAGGGAAGTGTTTGAGTCCCCATCCCTGTAAGTCTTTAAAAGATGTGTAGACGTGGTGCTTAGGGACATGGTTTAGTGGTGGACTTGGCAGTGCTAGGTTAGCGGTCGGACTTGATAATCTTGAAGGTCTTTTCCAACCTACATGATTCAATGAAGATAATACAGGCTATTGTGGTTGTGCGTTATGTGAGAGAATAAAGGAATTTGTTTACTCTTCCAGCAAAAGGTAGGGAGAGGTCTTCTTTTCCCCAGCTAGTGGCAAAACCCCAGTTGATTATAGTGGACAATATATGAAAGAGTATGGGATGTATTAGGGTCAAAGGATACAGTTCAAGCCAGAACAGAAGGGAGATAGCAGTATGCTTTTGACTGAGCATCACTCTGAGGGTATCCAGCTTACTGGGACACATTGCCTAGGGGTGCGTTCCTGGACCTGGAAAGTCCGAGCGAATGGAAATAAGTCATACAACTGGCAGGATTCCCCTTTCAAGCTTCCATCTCCTGGCCAGGCTGGATTTGCAGATTGGATTTCCCAGAGAGGCTTATAAGTGAAAGGAGAAAATGTGAAACTACTGATCTTTGCTTTTTTTACATTCAAATTTAAGTCAGTTCCATGGCTTTTTATATCATTGTATTTCAGCAACCGACTCATAATTTTTGCAAGTTTGGGATTACTGTTTCTGTTTGGTGCTCGCTTCACTTTTCTTATTGTAAAGTTAATAGAGAAAAGCAACTACAGAGTTATTTAACATTTCTACTAACTTCTAACTTTCCAGATGTCACTTAAGTTACTTTGGGAGGGGGTGGGGGGAACGGGTGTTCCTGTTTCCCCTTCCCCCCAACTTTAATAGCTCTGAGAAGCTTTGAAAAAGCTTTGTACAGAGTTTTTGAAAAGCTGCTCTGTGGAACTTTTTCACTCATTCTACATGGCTGCAGTATTTATTTTAAGTAGTGCCTCTTAGCAGTTTTTAATCATGACATTAGGTGAAATCAAGCAGCAGATTAAAAGAGCCTTGATAAAATAAAATGTTTCTAGGAGGTTTTGGTCAATGATTACTTTAGTTGCACAATGGAAAATTTTTTCTTGCTTTGCAGTGTATAATTGGAAGAAGAATGACTTTAGAAATACATCTGTGAGGGGGAATGTAAACTCCTGTAGCCTGATTAAAAGACAAAATCTTATTATTTTAAATTTTTCCGCTTAGTGAAGTTTAATGGAAGACTGTGCAGTTTCTTTCTAAGGGATGATGAGAGGTATTCATTCTGCAAGGACAGTCTGTCCCCCACCAGGCAATTACTGACCCTTTCATCCCAGCTGAAGAGAAGCTTTTAAATGAATTGAAGAGGTACTCAGAACCTGAAATCCCTCTGTCATAAGAGTTTTCATGAAGAGTGCTGCCCATAAACCACATTTACTCGCTTTCTGAGGCTGGGCTCAAACATTTAATCTTGAATCACTTATGCAAAGCATACTGGTTTGTCAGAGGGACTATAATTTCCCCTGTGTGATTTTGATGCTTTCACTTGTTTTTGAGACTCTTTGTAAGCCTGTCAAGACTAACATTGACATCCTACTTTTTCAATTTTTCAATTTGGTAGTAACAGTAATTTTTCCTTCATATTAAACTGAAGAGTTGTATATACATGTGAAACAACAATGCAGCAATGAGGTGGGTTTTTTGTTTTGTTTTTTTTTTTTAAAGAGAGAAAAACCCCTGTGCTTTTGTAAGTGGAGTTCTTTTTATATACACATGGATATTTTTACTCAACATATTATCTAAGCCTTTTCCTCTGTAAATTGTTAAAGGGAATAAGCTGGCAGTCCTCAGTAGCTGCTGATGTAATGAATATGGTGGAAAACGTTTAAGTCTATTTTTCATACCTATAATTACTTCATATAGGATTTTTATTTCATTAAAATTTCCTTAAGAATTGTTACCTCAGGAAGTGGTACAAATCATTGCTGTCTAGTTTACCAGACTTGGAGGACACAGGGTTTTTTGTTAGCTCCCTCTGCACGGGAGAACAAAAATCTCCAGGTGTTAATGAAAGTCTTAATTTTTTCCCCTCTCTTTTTCTTCTCTTAAACCCTTTTATGTTAATTTAAGATTTTTAAATAAGCATATAGCTTCACTTTTCCAGAAGTAGTATATTTTAAAGGTTTATTCAGAGATGTTAAAAGATACTCCCAACATAATCTGGCCTTCAAAATAAAAGCTAAAGTTTCCAATTATTTTCACTTCTGATAGTGTCACCAGAGCAGTATGGTATTTGGATTTTACAGGAATTGTCTGTACTGGAAAACTTGTTCAGTGTAAATTAATTTCAGTGTAATTTTATGCGTGTTGGAAGTGAATTTTAGCTGGTTTCATTTGGCTTTTCTGGAGGTTTATTTAGCTGACCCCGAAATGCTTCTGCTTTAAGGTAGACAAGGTCATGGTTAGAGCTTAGGTGGCAGAGTCAGGACTCCTGGGCTGTTGCCAGCTATGCCGCTGTTCATGGTGTTCTGCAAGGTGCTTGCGCTTGGGTGTGATGCTCAGGAGCATCTGCTGAAGTGCCTAAGCCTGAGAGGGCTACAACATCTTGGGTAGCTGTCTCGGGTAGTCGTGGCTCTTGGCTGCCAGAAGGGGGGGACTTCGGTCCTCTATCTTGCCTCTTGCCACGTTTTGCATCCTGTCAGTGCATCAGCTCTGAAAATAACAGGTCCTTGTTTGAGTTACTACGGCTCAATAACACAGCAAAATACTACCCCGTAATTGAGTTTTTCTTGCAACGGGGTATGGGTTTTTCAATGTGTAATTACTTCTCTGTTATTAGTCATCTAAGTACCACCAGTATATATGAGAAGCAGTAACTGAGCATGCACAGTAAGGTTTTTAGAAAGACGCATAGAGTTTGAGGTATTATCACAGTGCTAAAAATAAAGGGAAGATACAGGAGAAATGAGACATACTGGATAATTATGTACTTGAGATCAGTCAATTTTTTTCTTTTTTCTAGAGTTGGCATTTGAATTACCTGTTCTGTTCAGGAATGTAAATCACTGTGTTGTGGCTTTTACGTTCTAATTTAAAATCTTTTCCCTTGTTTCTCAAGATACACATTTTTTTTTTTTCCCTCACAGCTTTTTGTAGCTGAAGGAAAATGATGGAAGAGAGTGGAATAGAGACAACTCCACCTGGCACGCCCCCACCAAGCACAGCAGGGGCTGCTGCTGCTGCTACACCTGTCTCATTAGGTACAGAAACTTCCTCAGCAACTTGGTCACGTTTATTCATGTCTTTTGAAGCATAGCAATTCATCCAAAAGTGCTGCAATCAGCATAATTACAGTGCCCTTCTCCAGACTAATTGGAAGAATTTAAATTGTTTCTTAATAGTGGAATTGTGCTTCTTATCTGACATGCATCTGACACACAGAGTATTTTAAACATTTTTTTATTCTTGAAACTTTTTTATGAAGTCATATGGATGCACTTGTGTTTTTTAAGGATGCAGAGCCAGGGAAATAATACCTTCCACTACAGTGCACAGTTAGATGAGCAGCATAGAAGGGAGTTAAAACAAATTTACAGTCTTGTAGGGGATAGTGGTAAACCTGGATAATCACTTGGTTTTTAATATTGTGGGTGGTAATCAAAGCACTTTATCTGATTTCTCAAGAATCTGAACACCATATTCTGAATACCAAATATTTAATTTTCTGACACATCTGGTATTGTTATCTTGAGTCACGCTAGTGCAGTGGACTCCAAAGTGGTGTCCCCTTAGCCCAGGGGGTGTTCAAGGCAATCCATTGGGGTGCAGGAAGAAAATATTAAAACTTCCATTAATATTTATTTTTTTCTAAAAAATAAGAAAGAAATTAAGCTTTACTAATATTTAATATACTGGTTGACACTGGTGTCCTCACTCAGTTCCTCCATACGTTGGATGTTGAAATGTCCTGAGGGAAGAGTGGGTGTTCCACAGTGCAAAGGGGTTGACAGTGGCACCCTCACTTGTTTGCTCACTTTCATCATGTTGCAACACCTAGCAATTTCTGTGCCTGCTTAAGCGGATTTATGGGTTATGTTATCTAGTTTTACCTATATTAACTGTCACAAAATGGACAAGTGACTTAAAAAAGATTCTCGCAAAGAGGCCATGGATTGAAAATACTGCTAATAATGCAAGCGCAAGCAAACAACAAGAAAATGAAAGAGCTGACACTTCTCTGACTCCTAGTATGAGTTCTTTGCCATTGGTTTTACTTTGTGATATGGCTAACAATCTAATCAGATCTAACAAAAAATTGGCCAAAAAAATTCCAAAATTTTCAGGAGGACTATTTGAAATATAAATTTACCTCTGCCATTGTTAACAATGAACCTTACGCTATGTGTATGTTGTGCCTTGAGATATTAGCTAAGGATGATATGAAGCCACTATGATTAGCAAGACATCTAAAAACTAAGCAGAACATGAAAACAAACCTACAGCTTTTTTTGGTAATGTTTCAAGTCATACAGTACTCAATCCAGTACTTAAAAAATTTCAGTAAACTTAATCTTTAGAAGCCTCTTTGGAGATTTCTTATTTAATAGTGTAGACAAAAAGCTATGTACATTGGGGAAACACTTGTTCTTCCTGACATGGTAAAATGAAATAATACGTGGAAAACAATATGGCAACAAACTAAAATGCATTTGTTCAGCAAATACTGTTGGAAGACGCATAGAAAACATGGCTGAAGATTTGAAGAAACAAGTATTAGAATAAATTACACAGTGTGGGGGGTTTGCTATACAGTTGCCTAAAAGTACAGATGTCCCTAACATGTCTCAGGTTATGATTTTTGTGAAATTCTGTTTCAATAACCAAATACTCGACTACTTTATTGTCAAATCCTAAAGGAGGGATGTGCCAGAGAAGATGTATCCTCAACAGTAAATGACTTCTTTAATAAAAGCAATGTTTTTATTAAAACTGTGTAAGTGTAACCACTGATGGAGCAGTTGCTTTAACTAGGATAAAAATGGATTCTGGAATAAGGTTACAGAGATATCACCACACATGAAATGTATCCACTGCCTCATTCATAGGCAAGCTATTGCAGCAAAGAAACTGGAGCCAGAAGTGCACAAAGTGCTACAGGATGTCATCAATGTGGTTAATTTTATAAAAATGATCTTTAAATAGTAGGTTTTTTAACAATACTTTGTAATGAGATAGGGAGTGACCCTGAAATTTTTTTGCATTGCACAGAGGTTTGCTGGTTGTCATATGGCAAGGTGCTTAAAAGAGTTGTTGAACTTAAGGGTGATATGAACGTTTTTCTTTTATAAAATGACAAATCTCCCAGATTTGCTGATGTTTTCTCTGATGACAAGTGGCGGTCAGCAGTGTGCCACCTAGTAGATATTGTCAAAAAAATATGCACTCATAATTTGTTCCTTCAAGGTAGAGGTGACGTTTTAACAAGGAGTGATACAGTAACTACTTTTTGTAAGAAAGTCATGCTTTTGAGAGAGCATTTTGAAAACTGGTATTTGGAAATGCTTCCATTGTTATCCAATCCTGTTGCCAAAATCAATGCAGGTGTTGCGTATAAAAGCTGTCAGATCTGTACACATAAACTTGTAAAGAGAATTTCCTGACCTGTGTAAAAAATCTTCCAAATGAGGAGTTTCGTTGGGTTTTGAACCAACTTGTTAAAAATACCAAAGTGCAACACCTTCTGATTAGTTAGCAAGAACAACTGATTGACATCAGGGAAGGTGGAAATTTGCTAGCTGAGTTTCAAGAAAAACCTTTGCATAATTGGTGGGTGGGAGTGGAGAATGAATAGCATGATTTAGTAAGCACAGCCAACAATGCACTTCTTCCATTTGGATCTATGTATCTTTGTGAGGTACCTTTTCCAGCTCTGACAGTCGTTAAAGCCAAGCATCAAAATAATCTGAACATAGAACCAGACCTTCAAATTACTGTATAATGAGGTGTTAAACCAAGGTTTAAAAAATAATGAGGCTTCTTCAGTCACATTTCTCACGCTAAAAAATTATTATTAATAATTGTTTTATATAGTATGTTAACCATTATTAACATAGTATATAATTATATTAATAATACATTATTAAAATAATTTTCAGTGGGAGTAGAAAAGTTTCCGTACTGTTAATAAATAAAAAATAGTTTTAAATTTTTTCATTCATCTATCTCATCCTTTTAAAATTTCTATTGTGTATGTTTTATAATATACATAATATACTGGTAAACTGGTACATGTAAATAATTTATAAATAAATATTTACGTATGTTGGGGGGGTGCACGCTCAAAAATTTTTTACTGATAGGTGTGTGTGATAAAGTTTGGAGACTACTGCATTAGTGCAACTTGGCATATAATTTGACTGTCACTGATGTTTAGGCTGAGGCCAGTGAGATGCTTGAGCTGATCCAAGAGCTTACTGCTATCAACACCAGTCATTTCTATTTTTCTGACTCAATCTTCTGGCTAAACTTGGTTTAGAGAGCAAAATTGGTTTATCCAAGGATCAGCTGAGCACCATACTGAAACAGAGAAAGCACAGCGATTAGAAGGCTGGGTGCCAGGAAAGAGAGGGCTTCCTGGTGCTCAGCCCATCTCATAAAACCATACCTCTGAAGTAACTCCCACCCTCCCAGGTATTACGAGTGTGTGTTTTATTCTTAAACATGGGCACTTCCTGCATCATTATTATTTGTGTTGATTAAGCAGTCAGTCAGAAAGAACAGTACTAGCTAGAAATTTCTGAGGCAGACTTCAGCTGCTATAAATTCAGTAGTCATATGTTGACTCATCTTTTTAAGCTTATGACAAATAGGGTCATGCAAGGGAAAGAAAAATATGGCTTACACGATACTGTCAGAAAAAATTGAGCGCAGTTGGTGGTGTATGCAAACTCAAGCAGAACTAAAATTCACTTTGAAGGGAAAAAAGCAGACCAGGTCAAAACTTATTTATAAAATATCTGAACAATTATATAACTGAATCTCTGCGGTTAAGGCTCAGCATTTCTAAAATCCCTTTTTTCTCATTTTTCCTAGCTTTGTCCAGTCCCCTTGCTACACCAAGCATGTCATCTTCTCCCGCATACTCACCACCTTTGCCAGCTGGAGTGTCTCCACTTCCTGCTCCTATGATGACTTCAGCTTCTCTTCCACTCGTGCCTTCTGCAACGGTTTCTACTATTGCTCCACCTCTAACTCCTGCCCCACCCCCTGTTGCCCCTTCATCTTTTAATACCTCCATGTCCCAGTTCTCTACACCACCTCCATTAAGCTCTACTACTGGCCCTGGTCTTCCTGCACCTCCCACTGGTCCCCCCATTTCAGGATTTTCCATGTCTTCAACCTATGACATTACCAGAGGTCATGCTGGTCGAGCACCACAGAGCCCACTGATGCCATCGTTTTCTGCACCTCCGGTCACAGGTAACTTATTGTTTATATGCTTTCATGTTTGTGAGACAAGATGAGAGACCTTCTGGGTGGCTTTTTCCACCACTCTGCTAGAGTCCTGCAGGTTCAGCTTCTTTATTATTCTGGGTACACTTAATTAATGTAGCTGCACTCAGAAGAAGGGAGAGTAGCCTTTAAAATGCAGACATGGTCTAGGACAGAGAGTCCTCTAGTAGGGTTCTGCTAGCATTCAGGCTTACAGAAAAATCTTTGTTTGAGAGCTTTATTTTTTGTCAACTTGCATAGGAAAACCCAGCTCAACATGTATAACATATCTTTTGTTTAGATCAGAGAGTCAACTTCAGCATTTATATTTCCACAGAATGATATGATATCTCAGGCTGTAATCTCATAGTTTTCAGTTTTTTGTTCTGAAAAGCTATGTATAACAAGTTGTCCATCACATGACACCAGCTTCTATTTTCTTGTTTCCAGCCATTAAATTGCATTGGGATAGCTAAAAATACATACCTTCCATGCAAGCAATTGCTGTAGTTGCTGAACAGATGTCATTTTCTGCTAGTGGAATGGAAACTTGGCTCTTCAACTGCAATTGGGCCAGGCTTTTACTATTATTGGTGATATCTCTTTTAAGGAGTCTGTATTAGGAAAACGTCTAAAAAGACCTAAAAAGACCAGTGTAAAATAAAAATAACTCTTGATTAAGGGTAGCGTTGGAAAATCCATTAAAATAGGCTTGAGTAATGGGACAAAAGCTCATGCTTAAATTTTCTACTGTTTGAGTTTCTTTTGTTTTCCTTTAAAATATGTAAAGCTATTCATTTGCTTGCTCCTTTTTCTATTGCTACTAATTTTAGCATTCAGGGCTAGAAAATTTCCTACTTCTCTCTCTTTTATTATGTATGAGAACATTCCTATCTCTTTGTTGAGGGAGCAACACCCATTTCTCTTTTTCCTCTACTGAGGGCTTATTATGAAAATTTGAATACAATAAAAAGCACCACTGTTAAACTAACCTGCTAAGAAAAAATCATTGTTTAATTTCAGACATAATATACAGGCAATCTTGGTTCTATTAGCAGATATTGTTGAACTCATTTACAGTAGTTATATCTGCTAACGTTTAACAAGCAGAATTGTTCTGAGGCCTTCAAGAAATGAAGTGAATCAGCCCAGTATTCTTCTATTCTTCCTGCTTATTTTCCTGTTAAACAATTGCATGTTGCTACAGTATAACAAATTAAATACAGTAATATAAATGAACACTTATGTTTTATTTTTCCCTTTTACTAGGTGTTTTGGCAGATCCTATTACTCAACAGGCAACTTTCTCATCACCTTTGGCTCCTGGAACTGGTTCTGCAATCACTTTTCCTGAGGAGCGTGAAGACCCCAGAGTAGTTACTGCCCAAGGTGGAACACCTGCTGGAGGACTGTGGGGGTTTATAAAGGTAAGGGGTTTATCTGTTACCCTTCACGAGGAATTACCATTTTTTGCTGACTATAATAAGACATACCTTATTTTTTAAATGCATGTTGCTATAAATCCTGTCTTTTCTCTGGCTTCATGTGCAAGGTGGCTGTTTTTAATAGTGGTGTCTGCTGAAACTATGCTTTTGCACTTCCTCTGTATAGAAGAGGGAGGACTACACAAATGTAGGTGTTCTAGGTTAATTTTAGTGCTTGTGACAGGAAGGTATGCATACCTAACAGGTTCTGTCATGTGTTCTTAAATCAAGTGAAAATTTAGAACCACTTTAAGACCTGAAAACTAATTTTTACTTCACAGCGACGGGATGCAGAAAAAGATAGTCTGTTTTACTTCAGCAGAACCCTTTGCATAGCCCGTTTCTTTATAATTTCCTAATGAACTGAGTTTGATTTCTATGGGATGCAAGTCCTGCCTGTTCTATAACAAACAAGTCTCTTCAAGGAGAGGCAAATACATATTTCTTCCCGCAAAGAACAGTTTACCTAAGAAGCGTCTAAGATACTGTGTAGGATTTTTCTATTCTGCTAGAAGGCATGGAGTATGTAGTGCAGAACAGATATTCCTTGTGGTGCGATCTAATCATACAGAGGAAATAAGCAGCAATATCAACTAGTAGAATTTCATTAGCCTGTAACCTTTTTGGAGCTGTGACAAATGCTACATATAATTGGCGTCATGAAGATTGTGGCAAAAAGGTCTAAGGACTGTGCATGAACACTGAACCACCTTCAAGAGCAACACCATTTTCTGTACTGTCTCATGCTAAACGTGAAGGAAGAATCAAGAAGATTGATGTCCCAGTGGGATTGCAGAGTTTTGGAGGGACTTTCAAGCCCTTTTGAACAGGCAAAGCTGTGAAAAAAAGTTGTGTGTGACATGGCAGACTGAGCCCTCCCCTACTCCAGGAATACATATCTTGACAGTGATACAGTCTTTAAGAGCAAGATTAATCCTTCATCAGTACAGTGAGAGCAGAGTTGTCATGCTGCCCTTTTCAAGGAGAGATGTCTTCTTGTGATCATAGAAACACATGTTCTTTCTTCCTTTAAATAATAATGTCGTTCTCTTGGTCATCATATTCCTCTTAATATTTGCCATAGATGGTAATATTCCAGAAGAGAACATCTTTCTTATAACTTTATTCTGTAGCCCTTTTGAAAGTACCAGAGCTTCCAATTGCAAATTAGTTGAAAAGCCAATCTCATCCACAGTACTGTTGCCTTTATACCAGTAGGATTCTGAAGATGTCCTGTTTCTATTTATGGAGAAGGTCTGTATCGTTGACTTCAATAATAAAATCTAGATTTTGGTTGAAGTATTATGTGTTCCGTGTGCTCTGTGTGTTCAGGGACCTCTTTTTGAGAATTTCCTAGGTGGAAAAATGAGGAATCATTAATTGTGCTGAAGCCATCGAGTTCTTGATGTGTGTAAGCACACATCAGACTGTGTTTTTTAAAGATCAGCCAGAATCTGGGAGACTAACTGGAAATTATTACAGAAATGGCGTCCTGGATTCCCTGTTGAAGAGCTCACACAGTAGTTGCAGCAGTTATCTTTATTTCTGTTCTTGAAGTAGTTTGAACTACCCTTTTCCCTCTGGTGTTCTTAAGCAATCATACACCTTTCTTCCAGATTTCCTTCAAGCTAGATAATATCCAAGACTGTGACAATCTAAAATGGACAAATTAACGGTCTAGAATCAAATGAGACTGTTTCAGTTCCTTTGATCTGTCAAAGATGGCTGAGCAGTCTCATAGCAGTTCCAAAATTGGTTTCTACGTAATATATCAGAGGCAAAGTTGGATATTGCAGTCATTGCACCTGACAGCTTGCATATTTGACTGTTTGAGCAATGAAGGCAGCCAGGACCTGAACTTCCAGAAGATTTGTGTTTGCACTCTGCTGACGTGGAAGATTCTCCGTTTGAGCTATTTGGATTTATGCTGGCTTAGAAATGGTTCAGTAGAAATTCCAAACGTAACTGCATTATGGTTCATAGTGTTGTGATAACTTCATGTTTTGCATTGATATAAAACTATGGATTATTTATCCCTGCTGCTGCTAGGCTGATGAACATAAAGGCATCTTCCACAGGTAGAAGCAGCTTCTTGCTGCTCAGGAACCTGATTATCTGCAGGAGCTGTATAATGACTTCATGTTAGTTAGGCAGCCAGGCTGCTGACTGGAGAAGTACTGCTTGGCTTTGCATTACTGGAAAGATGCTAGAACTGGAAATTGCTACTTAAAATGTTTCTGAGGATCTCATAGCATTCACTCAGTTTTTATTAAAACAAGAGACAAACTTCAAATTATGAGAGAGCTGAAGGAGGAATGTAAACTTCCCTGTTCTTGATGGCATCCTGTGGGTACATGAGTAGTCACAAGAGTATATTTATTACTCAGTGAATGCTACTATTCAGAAAAGTCTTGTGTTATATTAATGAGAAACAAGTGGCTACAGTGGGCTCTGGCTTGAAAAAGCTTAATTGCGTTAGAGTGTGAGTAATTGTTTTGTTTTCTTTACCAAATTCTACAGTCAGGCTTAGTGTTCTGCACAGTGGTGAGAAGAGTACCTGAACCCAGTAGTGAACTATTTCAGCATGAGGCATGGGATAAGATAATCATTATTAGTAGCTATACAATATCTCAGTAGTTGTAGAAGTGTGGGTTTTTTTTTTCTTTGTTAAGCTTGCTACAAAGAAATAGAAAGCATTCAAAGGTTGGATGGGGCTTTGAGCAACCTGATCTAGTGGAAGGTATCCCTGCATGTGGCAGGGGGCTTGGAACTAGGTGATCTTTAAGGTCCCTTCCAACCCAAATCATTCTATGGGAAATAAGCTTTGCTGAACAAAAGTTATTCTGAGATAATTAAAACGACTCTGATTCTGCAGTTCTTTGAAGTACTGTGTAGGTGTATTAAGCAAGCACTTTCTGGAAAAATGTATGTGCACAGTCCTGTCCTGTGTAATGCTTGTCATTTAGTGAAACAAATACAAGCATATGCAGTTTTAATATTAGACTGAAAGCAATCTGTTTACTAAAGAAATTTTATAGAAGGTTTCTCTAAAATAGTTTCCAGTGTTTTAATCTCTCATTGATTCAGCATTAGTATCTTTCTTCTTTCACCCTGTGATCTTATCTGAATTTAAATAAACTTTCAACAAGATACAGACATTCATTAAGACTATTTGCAAGACACAGCACAGTGTTTGTGTTTATATTTAATGAACTTTTAGGTCTGTCAGCAGCTCCACCTATGATTTGGCTGGAGAATGTAGAATATTTTTCCAGCAATGTTTAGAATCTATTTATAAATTTAGGACTTTCAGCTCAATTGCTCTAGAAATACTTGTTACTAATGGGCCATTCAAAAATAGATCCTATTGTCTTTAAGAAGGTTAGAAAACTCTTCAGCTTGAGTTATCACAGTCTAAATCTAGCTACCTAGTCTGCTCATACCTATAATTAGCATTTGGAATTTACAACTTTGCTAAATGCTCAAGGCTTCCAGTCCCAGAATAGGACTAGATCAAGTGTGTTGCCCACCATCACTGATGGGGCTGTTTCTGCATTAATGCAGAAGAGGATGGTAAAGATGATATTTGAACTTTATGTTGTAACTGAAAAGTCATGCACTGATAGTCATACCCGGTAGCTTTTGTGCTGAGGAGTGGGATACAATAGGTGTTACAAAGTGTAAATGTGGTAAGAAAAACACAAAGCAGCTTAATATTTGGGTTTTGTTTGTTTGCTTTTTAACTGTAACATTTTGAGTTTCTTGGGAAAAAAAACAGAAGATGATGTGGAAATCCGTTTGCTTAAATTTAGGGTGTAGCTGAGAATCCCATGGTGAAGTCTGTTCTTGATAAAACCAAACATTCAGTGGAGACCATGATCACAACGCTGGATCCTGGCATGGTTCCATATATCAGTAAGTATTTGTGACAAACCATTAAGTAATACATGTAAATGTTAGACAGGTTAATATAATAGCAAACTACTTTTACACTTGAAATTTGTACACGTAGTGTGTTAATTCAAAGTCACAATACTGTACTGATTTCTCAAGTGTATTGTACAGTGAAACTCTCACTCTGGAGGCTGACTTTTTATGTGTGTTTTGAGGTTCATTTGACTTTTGTGTTACGCTATAGTTCAGATAGTAGCATAGTAATACCCTTTAACTTAGATTGTGAAAGATAAGGAAGTTATAAAGAGAAAAACAATGAAGAGACCTTGTCTGTAATCCCTAAGTTGCGTACTGTTTTTTCCCGCTGTGCCTCTATTTAATCCTTATGGAGTTGAGTTCAAAATACACTGTATGTGTTCTGTTGGATCACATGCTGAAATACTGCTGTGTAAGCTATCACATTAAAGTTAAAACAAGCCAAAAGGTAGGCATACTCAGAGAGGCACAGGACAGAGGTATTTAAATAGCTTTTGAGGCTTTCTTCTGACTTTCAGCTGTTCCACTTTTCTAGCCTAATAGTATTTACACTATTTTTAGGAAATTCGGCAAACTTGAAACAGTTCCTGTATCAGTTAGTAAGAATGTTAGAATTCTAAAATGGTCTAAGGAAGTCTGAAGTATTGCTGAGTGTTGAGCCTGGAAGGAAAAGCATAGCATTTCTATTACAGCTTGAAAATTAATAGGAAGGAGAAGCATTGTGGTATTAATCAGTTTTTGTTTTACTAGATTGCATTGTGTGTCACATATAACTGATCTGAGATTTCTACTTTGTTAAAATGGGGAAGCAAAAGATGTAATTTGTCCAGGGTGGTGGTTTGGTTTTGTTTTGTTTTTTTTTTTTTTCTTTTTTTTTTCCTTCCAGCAGTCTGGTAAGCAGTCCTTCATCTTAGTTATGCCAGTATTGCCCTTTGTCTGCGTGTAGGTGAAGCTGGTCAGGAAGCTGATAATTCTGTGAAGAAAAGGTTAAAATGTTTTTGTATTTTGTTGTTCTGAGCTGTTTTTCAACTGGACCTATTCTGTGATCCAGCTAACCACGTTTCTGCACTATTGTACTAATCCAGTGGACAATATGTGGAATAAAAGGGGAAGATGACCTAGTTATTGAGGAGTAGTTAATTGTCTTACATTTAAGGAAAAATATCACAGCAGCTGACTAGTGAGGAGATAGTGGGATATGAAATCACTGAGAAGGTGTTATGGTTTAACCCCAGGCAGCAACTATGCACCACACAGCCACTTGCTCACTCCCCCCTGGTGGGATGGGGGAGAGAATCAGAAGAGTAAAAGTGAGAAAACTCATGGCTTGGGGTAAAGACAGTTTAATAGGGAAAGCAAAAGCCACGTGCACAAGCAAAGCAAAACAAAACAAGGAATTTATTCACACCTTCCCATTGGCAGGCAGGTGTTCAGCCATCTCCAGGAAAGCAGGGCTCCATCACGTGTAACAGTTACTTGGGAAGACAAACGCCATCACTCCAAACATCCCCCCTTCCTTCTTCTTCCCCCAGCTTTATATGCTGAGCATGACGTCATATGGTGTGGGATATCCCTTTGGTCAGTTGGGGTCAGCTCTCCCATCTGTGTCCTCTCCCAGCTTCTTGTGCACCCCCAGCCTACTCAGTGGTGGGGTGCTGTGAGAAACAGAAAAGGCTTATATTTTAGGTTTCAGTATTGCTGTATGACCGTAATGTGTGACAGGTCTTGTCACAAATTGTTTCTTTTAATGCATATAATATCTTTGTTTCCCTTCTGTAGTATCTGTGATGAACAAAGATATGCTTTTGATATATGATGGTCCGTAATACCAAAGAACATAATCTGTATTCTGCTATTGCAATGCACAAACATGGGGCACAGTTACCATTCTTAAGTTACTATGCAGTAATTTACTAGGTATGTTATGGGTTAGTTTTTAGTTGCATTAAAAACTCTGTAACAGTTTTTCTATCCCTGGGCACTCAAACAAGGCTAACTTCAGCAAAAGCCTGCAGTCAATTTTAAGCACTTGTTTACTTCTGTTAACTTGATTTCTATCAAGAAGGAGTCAATGGAAACAGAGACTCTCTATAATTTTTTAGTCCTGTTGTTACCTAGTGTTTAAAACAATTGCCCAAAAGTTCAGTGATGGGTACACTCAATTCCATTCAATAAATCAATTGATAAATAAAAAGTTAAAAAATAGCCTAAAAAACCCAAATAGAATGTTTTACTACTGTTCTGGCATATCTCTGGCAATTTTTCCTAAAAAGATGATGTTTCCTGTAACTGAGGTCTGCTAAGTAATACGAGCCAAAGAATAAATTGTTCTTTTCTTTAGAATTTTAGCTCCAGGCTTATTATCAATGGAGGAATTTTTCTTACATCACCATAAATACTTCAGACTTTGTCAGCATGTGTAATTAGGTGGAGTGTTAATATTTAGAAGCAAAACCATTGGGCGCTGTTCTTTTTTTTTCTAAGAGGTAGCTTAACATGTTTTTGTACAGTCAGTGAGCCTGCGAAATGACAGATTAAAAGGCTGTTTCTTCACTAGTTTGCTACAGTTGTTGTAAGAAATGCCCTGCTGGATCCCAGAATCACAAAGTGGTGTAGGTTGGAAGGGACGTCTGGAGGTCATCTTGTCCATCCCCCCTCCTTCAGCAGGGCCACCTAGAGCCAGTTGCTCAGGACTGCATGAAGGCAGCTTTTTAGTATCTCCAAGGATGGAGACTCCACCGCCTCTCCGGGCAACCTGTGCCAGTGCTTAGTCACCCTCACCCCAGCTCTGTCAGTCTTTCCTTATAGAAGAGATGCTCCACTCCAGTGGTTCATCTAGCTCAATATTCTGTCTGCAGCAGAACCAACAGGAGATGCTCTATGGTAAATGACAGTAGATCTGGTGACTTCTGTAGTCCTTTCTCCTTGTACTCCTGCATCACCAACAGCCACTGGAATAAGGATGACAAGAGGCATGTCCATAGCTATCACTTTTAGCACCTGTTTGTGGACATGTTGTCCATTAATTTGTCCTTTACACTTGCTGATGCAATTTACTTACACAGCTTTCTCTGATGTCATATTCCATGTTTGAAAAAAGTTTAAGCTGTTCTTAAGAAAGCTTGTCACAGCAGGGACAAGTTTTATGAGATGTTTTTGCATAAGTTAAGTTTGACAATAAAAATGATCCAGCTGTGATAAAGACAGATGTGAGGTATAATTGAGTGCATCGATCTTTTGTAGTAGTTTTAGATTTCTTCTAATTCATGAACTGTTTTGTTTTATTTTAAAAAAGCTTAGTGAAAACTCATCCTTCTTTATAGAGATACTGCCATATGGAAATGATTCAGAAATACTTAAAACTTTCTAGTTCCATAGATATTTAATATCTAAATACAGGATAAATAACTAAAAACAGAATAAAGCTGTGGGGATGCAGACAAGCAATAAAATGGCACTGAAATTTACAGTCCAAGGACAACTAGGAAGTAATGTGAGCCTTTCTTTAAAGCTTATGTAATTTGACGGCTGTTCATTGGATTTTATGAACTGCATCTGTGCTCTTGGTCTCTTTCATAAGGAAGAGTTTGTGTGTCAGACCAACATTTGTTACCACTTCCCAGAACACCAAAACATCCTTAGAAAATGATGTCTGAGTTATTCTCCTAAATCCATGAATTGTCATCTTAAATGAGTGGTATGCTTTTTTCCAGGTGCTGAACAACCATCAGTTCCTGTTGTCTGTCTTTCATCCATGAATTACTTAGCTATTCATCTAACTTTTACTTCCTAACTTAAGTTATTTCTGCTTCATGAAAGAACTTTTGTGCAGTGCATGAGAAAGAGAAGACTAACTGAAGCACACTGTCAAGATGTAGAATGTATTTGAACTAGCTTATAATGTGAATGAGGAAAAACACATGCACATATATATATATATATTTTACAGAAACTGGGGGAGAACTGGACATAGTGGTTACTTCTAACAAAGAGGTAAAAGTTGCAGCAATTCGAGATGCCTTTCAAGAAGTCTTTGGAATGGCTGTTGTTACTGGAGAGGCTGCACCGTCTAACATTGCACCCCAACCTGTGGGCTATGCTGCAGGTTTAAAAGTAAGTTGATATATAACAGTATTAAAGTACCTCCAATTCAAAGAGAGTGTGGAAACATTCACCCAGAAGAATCTGATTTTCCATTAAGGGAAGGTCGATTTGTGGGATAGGTAAACATTTCCTTTTTTTTTTTTCATTCCCATCTGGATCATTAGATCAGTTTAAAGCTGCTTGTTGAAATAGATTTTGGGTTATTTTGCAAACACATTCACAGCAAATGAAGAATATTTATATCAGTTTTCTTATACTGTCATTGATTGCCATCACATCTAGCATACATACAGTGATATTACTGTAGTTTCAAAGTATATCAGGCATTTCTTCTTAGTCTACTACTAACACACCATGTTGGGAATGTTAGAAATTAAGAGAGACTCTTTGAGACCGAGTTGTCTTCCCACTAATTCCGTAGATCAAAGACATTTTGATCAACACTTGTCAGGGATCTTCCCAAACAGATCTATGTTATGTTTAAAAAGTAAGAATTGAGTGTGTGCAGCCTTGCAAACAGCTCTACTGGCCCAGAGGAAAGGTTAGCAAAGGGTATTTCACCAGATTTTTAAAATGCACGTGTTTGTCACGTGTATCTAAGTGCAACCACCTCCTTGGCCAATAATTAAAAACCCTGAAAACAACTATATTTAGTATTCTGTTTCTTAAATGTAAGCAAATCATTTACTCATTAGAGGATGTATTTTCTCCTAACTGCTGTGGCAGTGTTCACAGCTGAGTAAAGTCTATCCTCATAGAAACATATTAGCTGATACAATTTTATATTGAGGTAAAGGAGGATAATGTGTATATTCCTTTACCTGTTTAGCTACTGCAGTGTAGTAGTAGTAGTATTTTTATTACAGCTTCAGAGTGATAACAGGTTTGGAGTGAACGATTCCTACGTCTTAGTTGGATAGGCACCACAACAAAGAGATTCTCTCCCTTGGTCCTACAAAGTTGGTCCAAAGCTCTTAAAGGATCTAAACCTGACAAATATTAAGCTGCAAAAATGTCAGTGTGAGTAACAGAAATATATACTGATGCTTTAACTAATGGTGAAATTTGACACAGTTACAGGTTAGGAATTCTTTGTATGCTAATCTAGGTCTTTTTCATGGAAAAATAACAAACTAAAAATATTTAATTGGTTTTATCGTAGTTTTTGTTACTGTTTGGGATTTCAGTATGGCTTTTTACAAGTTTTGTTTTTAGTTTTCTTAACGTTGAAATAAGAGTCATTTTTCAAAATCTCTCATATCTTCTGTTTAACTTGAAAAGTATGTTCCAGAGTTCTTTTTGCATTCATCTGTAAGCATTATACTATGTTGTGATTCAAAGAGAATGCTGTCTAACAGCTTATGTTACCATTTAGGGAGCCCAAGAAAGGATAGACAGCTTGCGTCGGACAGGAGTAATACATGAAAAACAGCCTGCTGTATCAGTAGAAAACTTCATTGAGGAATTGCTTCCTGACAAGTGAGAACCTTAAATATATTCTGGGGAGGAGGGGGGAAGTAATATTCTTTGTTGACTCAAAGGGGTCTATAAAGAGTTGCTGGCAGTATCACTCTGAGCAGAAGAAAGGAGAGAGTCTGTCTGCAGTACTGCTTTGGAAGACTTGATTTTGATGATGATGTTCAGCTTTTTGTCCAGACATCTTAAGACTTTAATATATGAAATGCATGTCAGGTTTTTCAAGATTCATAACATAAAAACACAATGAAATTATACTGAACTGACAAAATTAAGGAGCTGTAAAAGTTGGAATTTGGCTCGTAGTTTGCTCACTCTTGTGTGCGCACTCTCTTTTCTCTTTCTCTGAAGTTGTATTTGGTTCAGAAAGTATGTTGGGAGATGTTCTGGCATTTGTAGTAATATGATTTTATCAGATAATATATTATCCATTTTCCTTTCACTGAGAATATGCTTACCACTTTTAATTTGCACAGACATAACAGTGATGTATTCAAATACATTACTACTTGATTTCATACTTTTTGACAGACAGTTCTTGAAGTAGCTTTATAATTAAATTCCAAAACATTAATGCAAACTTAGATAGTTTTTTTCTAATGTTTGCATTTTTGTTCATTTGATGGGCTTTGTTTAATTTTTTTGACACATACTCTGCTCTTGCTCCATTTTTAAAGGTACATTTAGTATCCTTAGTGGAAGATGGATGGTGAATTTTCTAAACTAAATAGAATTAGGAAGTGTTTTAATTTTTGTTTAGTATTTATTTCTGTGTAGTCTGATTTAGCTGTTTTATCGTCTTTCCAAAAGGGAGCAACTATGACGATGAGATCTGTTTCAAAATAATTGCTGTTCTCATCCTTTGAATTTACTCATTCCTAAATCTGAAAATGTTGCTTAAAGTACTCGACGTGAAAAAGCTCCCCCAAGACTGCAGTGTTATTGAAAGGAATAGTAGCTCTTCTGTCCACACATTACAGGCCCTAAGAATGTCTTGATCTTGGGTATTAGTTACAGTAGAAACAAAGAATAACTTAATGCATGCTTTAATTTTTATTCAGTAGGCAACATTGAAAGCTTCCTTGCATGGTATTACAAAAACCATCTGAACTATTTTTGGCCCTTGTTTTTTTCTGCAATGAAATGCTAGTTCACGGTGCTAGTAGTTGATTAATTCTGAAGTGAACATTGTGGTGTTACAGTTCTAGTATGGGTGACGCAGTCAGTGTTTTGCTGATATTGTTTACCATACTTACGCATGTCCAAAGGAGAGGAGTTTCCAGGTAACCACCCACCAATACGAAGAGCTCTGCACTTAACGCTTAACAGATCAGTCACTGCTCACAGCTAAACTTCTCAATTGTCCATCAGACAGCAGAAGGACCTTACTTCCTCTTCCAATTGGATGTGCTGAATACTATTTGCAGAAAAGGTTGCAAACTCTTCTATGTGCATTTTACCCTTTAGACTCTATCTCCTTTGTTAATTGGGAGCAAGTTATCTTTAACCATGAAGCTTTCTCAACAGTCTTTCATAGCTGCAAGTGAGGTAGTCCTCTATCACCGAGCATTCCAGTGCTCTGTTCCCCACTATGAAAATGATGCAAGTGAAGGACTTCCTCCTGTCTTGCTCCACTAAACTCTTAACATGAAGCTTATGTGACCCAGAAGTTGTTTCTTAAAACTGGAGTCTTGCATTTCTTTTTATAGCAACATCCTTTCTTCCCATGCTTTAAAGAATAAAATAAAATTTATATGTAGACATGTGTATAATATATATGAAACAACAACTACAATACTATTTTCCTTTTTAAATCTTTTATGATTCTTGGCCTTGATTTTGTGTTTGTGCCTTCCCTGGAGTATGTTTCTCCTGTGGCGACTCAACTGTAAAACTGTTGTAGGAATTGAATACAGTGAGGTGATGATGATGCATTACCCTTGGTTTTATCTGGATCATGTCAGTGTTGTTAGCTTATTGATAGGGAGAAATGATTTAATGTTTTTGCAAGCTAGATAGGGAACCATTTCAGGTGCTGCTTCTGTAGCCTTCACTATGTCTGCTACTGCAGGCACCATCTTTTCTGAAAGGTGCAGAAATGATTCTCTGAATAAATAATTGAAATAATTGTTATAGGATTAGACATACCAAAAATCTTCTGAATATAGAACATGAATGATAAATAGATTTTTTTTTTTAATTGTTAGGGAAGGTTATCTTAATGGGAAAAGTTCTTTCAAATATTCAATTTAAACTGTAGCATAACAAATATGGCCAAAAGAGCATATCTGCACACATGCCCACCTCACCAGCTTTCTTTGTTTCTTTGATCTGTAAGTTTTAGGTATTTTATGTATTTTTATGTATAATATGTATTTGATATGCATACACATGCACTATAATTTTATATATATATAAAAATCGATATATGCAAATTTTACTTGAAAAATACTAGAATGTTTTGATGAAACTCATTATTACATTATTACTACATTTGTGTAGAGTTTGTAAAATGGTCATAATTCAACTGCAAGCATGTTGTTTTTCAGTTGAGTGACACTCAGCACTCAAAAGTTGAGTTTTCAGTTTTCTTACTGATGTTGGATTAACAGTTGAGACATAAGACTTAAGTTTTAATTTCATTTATGATGTCAGTTCTTACTGACAGTTGCTCCACTTGAATGTTTTAATTTATGAAATGAGGATAAAAACTATTTTTGAATGATGTTTATGTATTACCTAAAAATCTTTAGGCATTTGTTGCAAAGCAATTCTTGATCAAGAGTCTCGTTCTGCAATACATGGCACTTGGAACCACTAGTTTTACTTTTCTATTAACGAAGAAGAAATATTCCAAGAAGAAATTAACCACAAAGAAGTACTCCCTCAAAAAGGAAATATAACTTTAATCATTGAAGTATTGTTATCAGTCTGGTTCAGTGACTCACAATTAACCCTCGTGAATCTTTACTTAGATAAAATAAGAACACTCATCCTTCCTCAGCTGTGGAAGGAGGTCTTTGGAGCTTAGGTAATATACTAAGCAACTGCACCAGGGAAGTGCAGTAAGCACTCTTATCCATCCGAAGGCTCGGTTACCTTTCCTTAACTTACTTCACATATGTATTAGAGTTTCATCTAATGCCAACAAAGCTGTAGCAGCGAAGTGTCTGTGTGCACACACGTACATGTTAGCAATTCAGTGAAGTAGCTTACACTTCATTTAGGCACGAGTTTATAAATTGAGGTCTTATGACTCAATTTTTAATAAAGCTCATAAAGCTTTGGTATTTATGTTGTTAATTACCAGCAAACAGACAGCATACTGTACTGATTAGTGTTCCTAAAACTCATTCCTAAAAAATAAATAAAGGATACCCCTTCTTCAGATCTGTCCTTGGACTTAATTCCACCATGAACATACAGACTCTCACCTAAAAGGCAAGACTGATTTCTGACCGTGCTATTCTGACAAGGATGTAAAATTTCTGAAATGGAAAAATTTAAATCTTGGAAATATCATAGTTCATCCCACTGAAAATAATGCAGTACTGTGCAGTTCTTAAATGTCACCAATAGAAGTTTTTCATGAGATTATTTACATTTCTTTGGGTACACACTGGGAATTACTCCAAACTCCAGTCCCTGCATGTTGCCTGATAGCAGATATGAGTCATACATTAGTTAACCCTGGTCTGAAAATTCTTTTTAAATCAATGTTTCTGTGAAGAATTTAAAAACAAAACTGTTTGGGGTTTGATCCTCAGGGGGTTGTTTTGAGAAAAGAAATAGTAACTGTTTAATTGTTTTTCTTTTTTTGGTAGTACCAGTTCCAATAAAGTGAACATTTGTGGGATTGGTTTTAGTTCTTGTCAGAGTTCTTACAACTTTGAAAAGCTTGATGAGTGGCAAAAGGAGAAATATTGCTCTGTGTAGTTGTCCAGAATGCTTTTCAAAAAGAGTGGAGAAAGACATGAAGCTACAGGAAAAAAATATTAATTAAGCAGATACAACTTCATTGACTAGATGATCTTCCAACCCAAACCATTCTATGATACTATGAAAGCAGACACAGCAGTATGAAGTTACTACTTAAATGTCACATTCTGTAGGGAGCATTGATACGAACTAAATGATTTTTTTAAACATAAAGCACAAACTACTTTAAAAGAGAAAACTACTTTCTGGTAATGGCAGAATAGCTTTATTCTAAGCATGTATTTTAGTTCTAAATTGCTCAGATGTCACTTGGTTCATGATACATATAAATCCAGAAAGTATAAGTTGGCTAGCCAATTTATGGGGCAGTCTGAAATTTGGATTCTGATATCCTTTTATTTCTCATGTAGTCCTCTTGATGTAAGTATGATTACTGATGAAAGTTGGTATCAGTGAAGATATAGAAACAAAACTTATTCATTTCTTTATCATTCAATAATCTGTTCTCAAAACGTTACACAGGCGAAGAGTCTCACTCCTCAGGACTACAATGTGAGATGGTCAGGCCTGTTGGTGACAGTGGGTGAAGTGCTTGAGAAGAATTTACTGAATGTCAACTCTTTAATTTTTGTTACACAGAATATTCTGTATTTTGTAATTTAAAAACTATAGTTTATATTTTTAATAGTTGTAGTTTAATTATAGCTTAACTTTTTGAATATTTTTTTCTTTTAGGTAAACGTACTTTGTAACTTTGAAAAGTAGTGTTTACCTCGTAATAGTAGAAAACATTCTTGTTTTAACTTTTATGCAACACAGTTAGTGTATAGCTTGGTGTATAGTGCAGATTCAGTGAAACTGTAAGTCTTTAAACTTGAATTGTGTGTGTGAACTAGTTGTTACCTTCATTCCCATTATGTCTCTTCTACAATCAGACTGGGTTTCTCTCAGGGGTGTGCAAGAAACATATGTTTGAATAAATCCAGTCCAATATCTTTAAGCAAAATCTAGATTATGACAGGAAAAAAACCCAGCAATTGTATAATTGTATTTCAGACTAAAAGCAGAGAAGAAATATGTGTTGGACAGGCAATGTTACTCACAGTACAAAAGATTTAATAGAGGCAACATTAAAAGCAATTATGTTTCTCAAAATTCTTGCTAGCTATGTGTTTTATTGTTCTATGTAGTGGAAATACTGGTAAAACTGTCTGTATAGAATAGATACTCTTGTTAATGTCTTTACCAATGGCATAGAGTTTTCTGAGCCCATAATACGAGACTCATGGCTCTTCATAACTCTAAATATTGCTTGATTTGGGGAGGTAAAAAGGCGGATTTGAGGGCTTGTTTTGAGAACCTTTTTCTGTTAATAGACAAGGTGTCATCTTGTTTTTTGCTGAAAAATTGCAACCATGATGAGCAACTACTGCAAGGCTGTGTTTTTTTTTTAATTTTATTTGAAGTTTACTGATTTTTAGCACTAAAAATTCCAAATAATTAATTTATGAAGTTATGTGCGATTGTGGGTCATAATGGAGATATCGTAATCAGATATTCTGTCCCTACTTACAGCTAGATGCGCTCTTATTTACTTCTTACTGCCAATGTGTTCTGACTAATAAGGAAAATTTCCTGTTCCTTTGTTTAAGAAATTTGCCTTTTAAGTATCTCTTGATAATAACAAGTTATTTCAATATTGGAGCAGACTGCGTATCTAGCAAATTTATATATGCTGTCATCGTTGCAAGACAGTAGTTGTAGGAAGGCTGGAACACACTAATGAACTTTGATCTGCTGTACATGCACTGGAAACAGACTAACTCAAATATTTGTCAAAATAAAATCTGTATGAAGAACTGGGCCCAATGTGCAATGTTACGAAGAACTGAGTAATAGTAAGAACAGTCTTACTGAGGCTAAAAGTTTTCTACCCTTCAATGTATGCAAGAGTGGCCAGAGTTGATTGCCTAGGATGAGCATCAGACCAGATAAACTCAGTGATACCTCCCCCACTGTTTCCCTTCTGCTTCCCACTTCAGGGAATTGCAGTATGTAATCCCTCTGTGATATCACGCAAATAGCTCAGTCCTCCATTTCTGCCAGGCTCAGCTTTCCTCTTGTATTTGGCTACTTGCCTGCTTCAGAGGGACATTTTAACCGTTTTTAAAACCTTTGGAGGGTAACAGTTATTGTATAAATATGTATCAATATTGATTCCGTCTGTTAGCTACTTTAAAAGAGAAAACTACTTCCTGGCAATGGCAGAATGTCTTTACTCTGTTAAGCATCATATTTTGGTTTTATACTGTTCAGATGTCATTTGGATCATGACACGTACAAATCCAAAGAGTATAATTGGCTAAGCAAATTATGGGGCAGTCTGAAATTTGGATTCTGATACCCTTTAATTTGCCATGTAGTCCTATTGGTATAAGAATGATTACTTACGAAAGTTGGTAATGGTGAAGATAGAAACAAAACTACTCATTTCAAACTCTTTCAATAATCACTTCTCAAAATGTTACACAGGCTAAGAATCTCACTCCTCAGGACTACAATCTGAGATGGTCAGGCCTGTTGGTGACCGTGGGCGAAGTGCTTGAGAAGAGTATACTGAATGTCAACAGGACTGATTGGCACATGGTATTCACTGGCATGTCCCGTCGACAGATGATCTACAGTGCAGCTAAGGCTCTAGCGGGAATGTACAAACAGCAGTTACCACCCAGGACCATTTGAAAGAAGGCTGATCCACAACACTAAGGAATACTGGTTTTGATTCTAGACTTGAAGTGAAAGCTACATGTTCTAATTCTCAGTGGATACAACACAGATTTGTAATCTAACTGTAAACTGTATTTTACTTTTTTAAGAAGTGAAGGTAATTTCCAATAGTGGAAATGAGCAATTGCAATTTTTAACTACTCTATGATTTCCAATATGATTCACAAAACAGGAAACCAGAACAAACATATATTTATAACTGGGACAAATAGCATTACAGTTTGTAAAGTGGAATGTGCTATTATTTGACACGCTATTAGGCATTTGCTGAGATATTTTAGTTAGTGTACTTTTTTAAAGAAGGGGTTCATTGTTTAGCTATTTCTATTATATTAGTAATATAAACATGTTGACAGCATAACGTGTATGTTATATATGCATTTCACCCAGAGAGACTACCTTCTGTATTAGATGTTTCCTGGGGCCTGTGGTTAGGTGGTACTTAACACCTCATAGGTTTGGTGTCTGCATTTAAGTTCTCAGGAGTGATGCTGAGTAATTTTTACAACACATAACAGTGAGCTGCTGAAGAAAAGCACAAATCCAGACCCCATTATTTGAAGTTGTTGCTAAATAATTTTGAAATCTCATTTTCCATGGTGCATCTTTTTTCTTTTTATGTAACAGTAATGAAATTCATGTCCAATTAAAACACTAGACACATTTCAAGTTGCTTCTGTGGGTTTTACATCAGGTACCACATATGCATGAAATTATCTCAGCAGTTTCAACAACATAATTTACTCCAGTGCTTCCAAACTTCATATTTTGTATTGAATTGTGTAATTTCTTCTATCAAGTTATGGTTGTCAGCAATTTGATGTGGAAAATGGTGATATGTGTGTCACTTGCTTTGTTATCTTGGGTTTTCTAAACATTTTTAAGTCTTAAATGCCTTCTTGATGTCATGAGCTCACTGTCTCTCCTGTAAGTCTTCAGTAGTGTCTGATTTTTTTCATGGCTATAAATGCCCTCTATCCATGCTCACACAATCTTAAATCTTTATTTAGAAATATGGAAGTAATTGTGAAGAAAATATTTTGGTAATAATACTTTTTTTAAGAAATGAAGAATAAACGAATACTTTTTCTTTGCCTTAAAGAAGCAGTTTTTCAGCTTATATTGCTCTGCCTTTAAATTTCTTAGATGCTTTCAAAGGACATTTTTATATATAATATACTGTTAAGTCAGCTCATATTTGTACCCAGTGAAAGCCTGTCTATTTCCAAGTAATATATTTTGCCTTAATTGGCTTACTCTGTAAATTAGTTGAATAAATGTTTTTCCTAGAGGATTGGATTGTATCTATTTTAAAGGTTTATTCTTTAATATAGCGGATGAACATCTGTTTATTGAAATTATATTTACATAGTCAAGTTACAGATTTGGCACATACTTAAATGCCTGTCTTGTCTGAAAAAAACCTGAAACAAACAGAACCAGAACCTGACTCTTGCAGTCTTGAGGTCTCTTGTTGGGAGCACTTCTTTGTATCATAAACTAAAAGGATGATACAGGGACTTCTTTTTGTCATTGTTCAGTAAAAGCATCTTTGCTTTTATTGTAATTTCAGTTTGCAGTGTACGATATGTTGAATGCTGCCCTTCAGTCCCCTGCTTACAGCATTGTCCATGATGCAAAGGAAGAGGACGTGAAATATCAGTAGGTTTATGTGCCCTGGCATGAGTTAAAATTAAAACTGAAGAGGAATTTCCATTTTACTTCTTCCTTTCTTGGCCCTGGCCTTCTGTTTTTCAGAGGTGGTAAAAGTGGAGGCAGAAGGTGGCTTCTCATTTTGCAGCACCTGGTTCATTGTGGTGACATTGGCCCAGCATTCCAGCTATCTTACGAGGCTGCTAATGTGGCATACTCCAAGGCTGCCCTGGCCTGCCTTAGAGAATTTTTAGATCTCTATTCTCCTGTAGAAATTTGCTTTCTTTATGCCAAAATGAGAGTGACTGCCCGCTCTTCTGTCTGTATACTTTATCCTTGTGGTCGGGTGCTGGGATATGACATGATGAAGTGAAACAGTCTTTCTCCATTCAAAGTCTCTGGCTTGATGAAGGTCTTTTGATGTAGTTTTGGTTGCTCACCTAAGAGTTAAAATGGCTCTACTCGATAACTTTTGATTAGTTCTCTCCCTTTACTGAGCATTACTTGTTTATGTATAAAAAATAATATCCTCACATAAAAGCCAGGAGCTCAGCTTCTTCCCTGAGAGACCAAGGAAAGGAAAAATGTCTGCAGTGTGTTCTGGAAAGCTAATAAAATTTCAATTTACTTCCAATCTGAGTGAAGACCCTTTTCAGGGTCTGAGTTGCAGTTGGCATGGATGAATTCTGGAGCAAGTTAAGATAACATTCAGCTTTTTACCATCTCCTGGACTGTGTTGTAGGCAATAGAAGGAGAGGAAGCTCAAGGGGTAAGACACCGACATCCTGTGTTAAATTTATATTGAAATCAACTTAGAAAAGCAGATATCAGAACACATTCGGACGTGCAAAGACAATTCTCACCTGCTCGTCATCACTGTAGCTTTTTCTGCTGCTTTGTGAATGGATAAATATGAGTGTCATAAACACATCAGGAAAGCTCCCACGTGTGAAGATGGGGGATATTGAGGATTGCTGAAAATGGTCCTGGCAATATGTCCAGAAGGAAGGGAGACCAGCTATATTGATTGCTGTGTTTTATTTCCACATTTGGAATTGCTGCTCTAGTTGTTTTGTTTACTGTACCTTTTGTAGCAAGCGGTACTGAGAGGAATTTTTCCATGACCGTGGGTTTGTTTGGTACTTTCATGACGTTTTGGAGGTACTTGATTCAGCAAGGAAATACATGTTGATAAATAACATTGTATAAAGAACATAATTTGGCCTGACCCGCTTCTATTGTAGCTCCTGCCTTGCGGCAGTCAAATGTAAAAGCACCGTAATCGGCAGGGAGCAGAAGGCCAGGCTGTGAGAGATGGTCTGCATCTGCAGGTAAGCCAAAATGTAGTAATAACTGCATGCTCTGCTGCGGTGTTGGTGGCACTGATTGTTTTTGCTGCACGTTCTTTATAATGATACTGTAATTTCATTCACTGCCAGCATATGTTCAGTTCAGTTCCTTGGGGCTGGAACGTGACAGATGATTGCACCGGTGCTTCTCAGCACTGCCTAATGGCTATTTCATGACTCTGACAAAGATATCCTGATTAAAAACCTTTACATATCTGTATGCATGCCAAAATACATGTCCATTATACTACCATTTTTTAAAGAGTGTTTCAGATAGATGCAGCCAAATTCTTCCAGTTTGCATTAAATTGAAGCAGATCTAAATGATCTTTAAACGGAAGCAGAGTCTTTAAAATGTTGGAGGTAGCTCACTAGCTCTGCTGTTGCCTGGTACCCTAAGCAGCAATGCTTGCTGCTTTTGTGCAGCCCCTCTCATGCTAAGTGTTTAAATGCACTGCTTTGTACACATTAAGGTAGTGAGTCTTTAAGTCACTTGTGCATTGCACAATGGCAGGATTTTAGTTGTGGTTATGGAAAGTAGTATTTAGCAGAGCTGTGATAAATTGAGGTTGAACTTCATAAGATCTGTATAGGCTAATAAGAGATGGATCAGTCTTCAGAAAAATCAGCACAAGGATTTTATATATAGAAAGAATATTGGATTTTTATTCTGAGGCTGAAAAATAGTTTCAGGACTTAACAACGTTGTTTAAAGAAATGAGAGCTGGCGCCTGCTGGCGAGTGTAGAAGCCTCTGAAATTCCTTTATTATGTGCATGTGATGCCAGCTCTAAGAGTCAGTAAAAGAATTTTTCTTTGTTTCTGCAAGTGAGATTTTAGTAGATCAGAGAGAAGCTAAAGGTATTTTTCCAGCTTTTTTATTCTAATTGCTTTTCTTGAGGGGAAAAAACCTGCTATGTCAACAGCCATCCTGTTAAAAAGACATTCTGTGTCGCATATACTTTCTGTGACAGGTAACTCCTAGTGGCCACTATTGAGCTTTCCCATTTGTAGCAGGAGTTTTGGGTAGTTGTTATTATCAATGGGCTTAGGAAATTCCGATCTTTCTTTTAATAAATGTACTCTGCCCCTTCGGTCTAACTTCACAAGAAGTAATCCCCCACAAGTGCATAATGTTCAAAGAAACTAAGCAGAAAATGTGAAAGGATGGCTCAGCTAAGGAATATCCCCACAAATATTCCCATGCAGTGATGAGGCTGAAAACTTTAATGGGCTGAGAGGTTCCCAGGAGCAGAATGAATGAATTGTGAATGTTGGACCCGACTGCGTGACTAGAAAACTGGGAGGCCAGAACTGAGAAAGGAAGTTTCTCAAAGGCTTGCTGCAAGCACTCAGTTTGCCTGCCCGTCTGGTTCAAAAATCAGTGTTTAGGAGAGAGTGAAATATTTAGCCTTAGTTTTATCTCTTTTTCCCAATATTCTGGTCCCATAGTTAGAGTATCCATTCTGTACAAAAAAAAGATACTCCATATTTTTGGAAATACCTGTAGCGTGCTTAAAAGTTATCCAACAGAGGTCCAAGCCAAAAGCTTTGGAAAAAGAAGCCAGATACCTGTCTCAGTAGTAGTATCCTCAAAAAGAGAAACTAGTGCCTACCATTTACAGGTATATCTGTGAAACAAAGTGTGCATGGGGTGGCAGCAGTGATTAGCTTACATGTGCTAATTTTATTCTAGTTAATGCAGATAACAACAGAAGGAAAAACACAGGGATGTATTTGGGTTCTGGATACTTTTCGACTGGTTGATACTCTGCGATGAAACCCATTGCACTGCTTTTTCAAAACACTTGCTAATTGTGTCAAGGTACAGGTGGCAAAAGTGTTGCTATGTGTGCTGCATTTCCACCTTCACCTTGTTATGGTGTCCTGCCTTGAGATTACACAATACAGAATAGGAAAGGTTAAAATGAGATGTGTGCTGCAAATACATGCCAGGGTCAAATTCAGTCCTGTTGCAAT